AGGAAAATAGATACTTAATTTTTGGTACCTTGATTTATATATAGGTGAATAGTATATGATATCTGGTATGACGATGCGATCATTTTTTTGTCATTATCCAATTTAATTATAAAATATAAAAATAGAGAGTTCTAACTATATAATTTTTGATACTCAGGTTTTTATATAGGTAGTAAAGATTTTTTATAGAATATAGGCTTCTTGAGCGATCTAAAAAGCAAAAAGAATAAAATATACCAAAAAAGTGTTCCAGAACTCCCTTTATACCCCTACTCCGGGTGACACTCACCCAAGTCAAAATACTAGTTTTAACCACCATTTTGATTGCAAGATACTCCTCTACAAGCTTTATTAGAAGTTAAAAAAGGTTTATTTAATAAAAAAAAAAAAGCTTTAGTTAAAATTCAAAAATTTTACTATAAGTAAATTTTTTGAATTTGGAGTTATTTTCTATTATATATTGTCATATTTTTTTTTGCATATATTTGTCATTTGTTGAAAATATTCTACCCATATTACTAGTACTGCTCTTTTAAATCTAAAACTGCTTTTAAAGTATAAGAGTCTTTACTATTATCTTAGTAAGGTAAGTTTGCTATTTTTTCCTTACTAGTAATTCTACCTCTAAGCCTTTTCTTTTTTCTATATTATCTTTTGTTTAGAAGGCTTTGTAGTGTTGCCAATTAATTTCAAAAAAAACTACTTCTCTTGTATTTGTTTTTGTTTTTGTTATCTCTAAAACATCTAAATTTTCTTCAATACCAAAGTTTATAAGTTCTTGCAGTTTTGTCCTGTTTCTTTTTATACTATTAATATTATAAAAATCTATTTTTACTTGCTCGAAACTTTTCTTTATTCTGTTTTCTTGATCTATATTTTCTGGCACTAATTCTAAATTTAAATTTAAAACATTATTTATTATTTTAAGTAATATTTGCTTTGATAAACTACTTTGCTTGTCTATTTCTGTTAGGGATAGTATTCAGCTAGCTTGGTTTAATTTGGTTTAAACACCTCTTGGTATAAGAGATAAGTAGCTAAACTGTGATTTAGCTAATAATGTATGTAATCATATTAGATATCAGATATACTATAATACATATGTACATATATATGTAGCTTATTATTATAATCAACTTTTTTTTTTATAAATTTATAATCTTATACATCAGCAAATTTATAAAACTATAATATTTCATAATAATTTACAAAATATAAAAAAGCTATAATATTATATAAGAAATTTCGAAATATTGTAAAATATCAAAATTACAAAATATTATATAAGATATTTCAGAATATTTTAAAAATTTTTATATAATATTATGGTATTTTTTACATTAAGTAAAAAATTTTGAAATAGTTTGAATACATGCAAATAAGTTATATTTTCAATTTTTATATTACCCATGACCTGCCAACCCACTGGTTTTATTATTCCTGAGATACCTATAAAAAATTAGCCAAAAAAAATTTTTGGCCGGTAATTTTTTCGGCATGATTGGTATATAAAAAATATATTTTTGAATTTATTCAATTTAATATTAATATAATATCTTTATCATAAATTATATATATTTTTGAATTCATTCAATTTTTATTTACTGTAATATTGATATAATATCTATATATATCTAAATTACATTTTCAATTTCAAAAATTACCACAATAAATATAATACCTGTTTTACGTACAAATAATTTTATTATTATTAAAATTTCATTTAAACACTTGCTCAATATATTTAGCGTGTGAAAGTTTATAGAAAATATTGCTCTTGTCAACCAATAAAACTTGACACATTATTGGAAGAGATAGTATATAGCTTAAAATATAAACTTTCTCTATTAAGTATAAACTAGAAGCAAAAAATATCTATCTGACAATATATAACAGATTTGAAATAAACCAGAAATTGGCAAAATCAGATAAAAAGATATCTGGTAAGTGGTTCTACTAACCTGGCCAGTAAAGTCTATAGACAAGTAACTAGACTGAGCCTATACTATAGTAAATTAGTTAAAAAGCATTTTTACTTAATAGGCAGCTGTGATTTTATTTCAGCCCAACCGAAATATTTTGAAATTTTTTCAAAATATAATAATTTTGAAATATTATTTCGAAATATTTTAAAAATATTAAACTTTCACTATTACTGTATTACAAGATTATATCACTGGTCATACAAATCAGATATAAATAAGATTTTATTTTTTTATTGCTTTTTCTGTTGTTCTGTTTTAATTTATTCTTTTACATATTATTATTAACAACTAAAGTTATTTGTTTTACAATACTAACACTTATTTTTTTTTTTTTCAGGTGATAGTTTTATACTTTCATTTCGTTGTTCAGTACTTCTGTTTTTTTCTTTTGTCATTGGTGTCGTCGAGTTCAGTGCTTTTTTTTCGTTGTTGTCAAATTCGGTGCTTCTTTTTTCATTGCTAGTGCTTTGAGTTTAGAGGTTCTTTTGTCGAATATTATACAGATCAAATATAAATAAAATTTGTATTTTTTTTTTTTATTACTCTTTTTGCTATTCTGTTTTTGTTTTAATTACTAACGTTTATTTTTTTTTTTTTTTTAGGTGATAATTTTATACTTTCATTTTGTCGTTTAGTACTTCTATCTTTTTTTTCGTCATTGGTGTCATCAAGTTCGGTACTTTTTTCTTCATTGTTATCAAATTTGATGCTTTTTTCTTTGTTGCTAGTGCTTTGAGTTTGGAGGTTCTTTTGTCAAATATCATACAAATCAAATATAAATAAGATTTGTATTTTTTTTTTATTACTCTTTCTGCTATTCTGTTTTTGTTTTAATTACTAATGCTTATTCTTTTTTTTTTCTTTAGGTGATAATTTTATACTTTCATTCGTCGTTTGGTACTTCTATCTTTTCTTTTGTCATTGGTGTTGTCAAGTTCAGTGCTTTTTTCTTCATCATTGTCAAATTCGGTGCTTCCTTCTTTATTGCTGATGTTTTTGAATTCAGAGGTTCTTCCTTTATGCTAGTGTTGTTGAAAGTTACAGATCAGATATAAATAAGATCTGTATTTTTTTTTTTATTACTCTTTTTGCTATTCTGTTTTTGTTTTAATTAGTACTATAGTACTAATGTTTATTTTTTTTTTCTTTAGGTGATAGTTCTTTCATCTATTTCGTCATTTGATGCTTCTGTCTTTTCTTTCATCATTGGTGTCATTGAGTTTGGTGCTTCGAGTTTAGAAATTCTTTGAATGTCACAGATCAGAAATAAATAAAATCTATATTTTTTTTTTATTATCTTTCTGCTATTCTGTTTTGGTTTAATTAATACTGTAGTACTAATGTTTATTCTTTTTTTTTCTTCAGGTGATAGTTTATACTTTTATCAATTTCGTTATTCAGAATTGTTAATGATGTCGAGTTGGTGCTTTTTTCTTTGTCATCAAGTTTGGTACTTCTTTCTTCATCGCTAATGTCTTTGAGTTTGAAGGTTTTTCCTTCATGCTGGTGTCGTCGAATTCAGTAGTGGCTCTTGTTTCGTCACTTATATCATTGAATTCAGTAATGTGTTATCTTCATTATAGATTTCTGATTCAGATTCTTTCGTTAGGCTATGCTGCTGTGCTAAATTGATATATCAGAAAATTAGGGTAGAGTTAGGTGCTAGTATTTTTAAAGTGCAAAAATAGTATAGAGCTATTTATGTAATAAATATGTAATAAGTATATAATAAATATATAATAAATATATAATAAATAATAAAAAAATTTAATATAAAATTTATATAATAATTATATATTATATTTCGTGAATTGCAATATTTATATAATATTATATGTACTGCATAATTTTGAATTTTCTAAATATTTCAAAATTTATTGCAAATATTTTGAAATATTTAAAAATATATTCCGAAATTTTTCAAAATTTTTTGCATAAAATTCTGAAATTAAAAATTCTGAAATATTTTGAATCAATCATAATTTTTGCGAAAGATTTCAAAGTATAATTTTTTTCACAAGATTTCAGTTATATATTTTGTTAATGTATAACATATAAATCATATAATAAATAGTTATTGGATGTGTAATATTCAATAACAGTTTTATTTGGCAGGAGAAATAAAAATACCATAATCTGAAGAATCACAGAATGATTATTTTGGATGACAAATAAAAGAAGTATTTGGCTTTGAATTTAATGTGCTAACCTGGGCCCCAAAGGGGCTCAGGTTGTCAAGTACATTAAATTCAAAGCCAGATACGCTGTTATTGAATGCAAAACATTCAATAATGGATTTATTTTTCTTTTTCTGTTATAATGTGAGTTTGTGTGAGTCTATTTGGCATATAACAACTGTTATATAACCCATGTTTACTATAAAAAAGAAAAATAATATATATATATATACAACTTCTACTAAACAAACAAAAACCTATTCATAATCCATTTCATTGTCAATATCAATATTTTCTATATTAATATTATTAATTTTTTCACTAATTTTTCGGTAATTCAAATTTTTAAGCATAATATTGCCAGGCAATTTTAGGATCTAATTTATAAGTACCTTTGAAATAGTAAACTCAGCAATTGAAAATATTTCTTCAAGTAGTATACTAGATGTCTGAATTGCAAGAAAGTTATATGCCATGGTTAATAAAACTAGAAATTGAAGTTTATAAATTTTTCATCACTCTAATGCAGTGTTGTACATGGGATATATCTATACTATGTCCAACATCAAATGTTCAAGATTGTCCAAAATCATCCAAGCCTATATCCCAAGTTTAAATAATCAATAAAGTAATTTAAAAAAATATATAATTATATATTTTTTTAAGTGTTGGACTCATTTATAAAAAAATTTAAATAAATTATCTTAATAAAATTTTGAGTAATTTTAATTTAAAAAAATATTCAAAATTGTCCAAAATTGTCCCAAGTACAACACTGCTTTAATGGGTCACAATTTTTATCAATAGGGATAGCAAGATATTTTTCTAACTTATTTCTAATATCAGGTTATACAGTTGTAGTTGGATAAAATAAGAATGAGTATTATTCTGATTTAATAATAAACTTTCTGGCGATAGTTCTGTTAAGTTTGGTGAAACCAATGTAGCAGTAGTTGAATAATAAACTATTTTACTATTTAATAAAAATATAGCATTATTAGTTTTATCTCCAATTGCAAAAACTGAGTACTTAATATAAGGATCTAATATAGTTGCAATTTTAGTAGTATTACTAATATTTAAATAATATTCATCAAATTCGTAGCATATAGAATCAGCTATAATATATTGTATAGTATTATTAATTATTTTATATTCTAATTTTTGCTTTAAGGTTCAAAAAGTAAAATAAAAATCGCCAATTGTTGAAAATGAGGATGAAAAAAGTGCTAAAGCTGCAGAATATATTGGTGCTAAAACTGAAATTGCTTTCTATATTATTTATATCATATTAATTAAATTATTATTATTATTTTTTTATAAATTCAGCAATCTTGCCTCAACTTTATTAGGCTAAAATATTTAACTTACAGGTAAAATATCATTTTTGCTAAGCAAACTAAAGCACCACCTAAGTTACAAGTTTTAGCTAACCCGGCTCATTGTAACACCAAAGTGCCCAAATCACCCATATTTAATCTGCTATAGTAAAGTTTATTTCTATATTAAAAAACCCTATATATGAATTCTTCGATATTTATCAAATAGTATTTATGGCCTATCAAAACTGCTATCTTTTCTAAACCTTTTTCCTTTAGCTTTGCGAGCAGAAGGATTTATAGTCTTTAACTAACTTATAAAAAAAAAAACACTAATACTAAAGATAAAGGGAATAATACAAAAGAGAAAAAGAAAAAAAACTGCCTAAGCAACAAGAAAACGAACAAAAAGAAAAAATAAAACAAGAAGAAAAAGGTAGAAAAAAAACAATTTATAAAAACACTATTATAGCTCATGCTAGGCATAGTTGTAAAAATTATATGCTAAATTTAAAAATTTTGTATATCTCTGTTGTAAAGCTTCATCTTATCGTTAAGTTTCTTCCGACTTTATTGTCTGGTCTGGGTTGGTTCATTAACCAAAGCACCAGTTGGTTCATTACATGGTGTAGGTACAGCATTGTTAAAACAATCCTATATTTATGTTTTACTTTATCCATCCGAAAATGAAAAGTGTAAATAATGCCAATCTTTTGAAGGGGGTAAGCTAGATTGCTTACTTTTTGTCAAAAATTTTGGTAAGGTTGGTGATAGGTAGTAGAAGTAAAAAAAAAACCACTAGTTCCAAACCAAAAGAGTATGTATACTTTTTTTGCAAAGTATATCAGTAACTTGTTGACCAAGCGAAGAGTATAGTACTTAAAGAATGTTAAAGAGTGAGTAATAAACTCTAAACTTGTCAGCAAGTAGCGTATGAGAACTACTTCTAAACAACAAGTACTCCTGTTACAACAGTGAGTAATAAACTCTGAACCTGTTAGTAGGTAGTATATAAGAACTACTTCTAAATAACAAGTGCTATAGTTCTTTGACTTATTTTACTTATTACTTTTTTAACTAGTTGTAATATATTTATTAAAAAAAGTTTTTTGAGAAAAATTTAAAAAAATGATCGTCAGAAAGAGTTTTTTTTTTTTTTTTTGACAATCCTGCTTTTATTATATAAGAAATGTGTAATCTAAATATATAAGTTCCTAGCTAATACCAACAACTCTTCCTTTTCTTCAATAAAAGCTCACTTGGCTGCTCAGAAATGCCCAGATGCGATTTGCTATAGCATCTTTTCCTTCCTTCTGGCTTTCAACTTGCTGAAAAGTTATCCATTAGATCCTTGAACAGTAGTTGCTAGCCTTGTCAGAACTGCATTTAAGTTTTGTAACTATGTAGTCTATAGAGCCCGACTACTTCAGTTTGATGTTAGTTGTAATTACCTTTCTAACTTCTTTTTTTGTCTTCTCTCACAATTTTTGATCTGCTTTTTCTGCTAAAATTCTTTCAACTCTTGCCTCTTGGGTTTTCTCTTCTTGGTTTTCTTGTATGTTGGATCGCTTCTTTCATCATGCTTCCTTTTTTGTAAGTTTGTAATGCCTCTGTCTTGCTCTCATTTATTTATAGCTTCACATCTTAGTCTCTAGATTATCTTTTGAAAGCGTTTTTGTAGCTTGTGGTTATAAATCATTTAGAGCTCTCTTAGCAGTCTGTTTTCATTTCTAAGCTTTCAGAAGATTTTTCTAATACAGTTAACTCTGTTTTTATATTTAGTCTCTTGGGTATCTCTTATTATTTTTTCTTTTGTAATGCTATATATCTTTCCTTTGCTTTCTTTCTGTTCTTTTTTTAACTTTTTCTTTTTTATGTCCTTAAATGCTTTACTCTCTATTCTGCTCCACAATTTCTCATATTTCATATGTGGCTAAATGATCTAGATCTTTTTTTTCCTGAAAGCATGCGATGCAAAAATCAAATGGGTAGAGATTTGGATTTCTTCTGTGAAGTATCTTCAAAGTTGGCAGCAACCTGTTTATATACTTTATCTTAAAAACCTAACTGTGGCTATTCTTTAAGCTTCTGTATCTATGTCTTGACTCTTTTCTTTGCATTTCTCATATTTTTCTCTAGTCTAATTACTTCTCTTTTATACTACTTCTAATTAGACTATCTATATATTTGTTATTTATCCAATCTATACTATAATATATTTTCATTATACTATCTATCATTTTTTTAATAGGTATATCAATAATATGACTATCTCACCTTGGTAATATTTTTATTATTTTGGACCATTTTATCTTAAAGCTACAACACTCTTTAATGCTATTTTTCTCTTTCGCTAGCTTATTAGCTATCTCATTTAATTTGACTCCACTATGACCTTTTATCTTTATGAAACTAATACTAATATCTTTATTTCAACTAAATTTATCACTATTGCAATGATACTCCTATTTTTGAGCTTAGTGGTTTTTGTGTCATTTGGGCTAGCTTTGATCTTTTCAATAATACTGATTGCATTCACACTATCTGTGAAAATTTGTACTCTGTATTTGTTTGGTACTGCTAATAATGTGAGCCCTATAGTGCCTATTTCTGCTTTTGTTAAAGAAGGCCAATCGTTTATTGCATCTGAGAAATGCTCTAGTACTGCTTTTATATCCTTTTTGGCTGCAACCTAGCCTATATCTATTTTTCTCAGCTCTCCACTTCCACTATCTCTATTTAATAAGCTATCTGTATAGATGTCTAATTTTGCAAAGCCAACCAATTTTTGCAGTGACTTTTGGGTTTTCTCCCTATACACCTGCTCCACTATATATTTGTTAATTAGATCTTCTTCTAAGTTTTTAATCATTACTGTAGGGCTTGGCAATGAGATGAGTATATTGGTTCTTTTGCTAAAATTTGCTAGCAGCACCTCACACAGAATTTTGTTTTCTTCCTGCTTTTTAATACAGTTTTTCTTTAACACTCTTTGTTTATTTTTAAGGCTCAAATCTATTTTGCATTTATTGGGCTTTTATGTATTAAATAAACTATAGCCTTGGCATTTGTTATAAATGTCTATATTTTCTTTCTCTCTTTTTCAATGTATTACTTCTATCTTTCATTTACTTTTACTTTTTTTAACCACCTGGCCCAAATCTGTTGTACTCTTTTCATTCGTCAGTACAACCCATTCTGCTTTTCCTTTATCTTCAGATATATGCTGAAATAAAGGCAATAGAGCTACTTGATTTTCTTTTTTGTATCTGTATCTTGTATACACTTCTCTTGTTGTCTGATTATTAATCACTACACTCTTGATGCTGTTAAACTATAAGAGCTTTTTTCCTTTGCCCTTGTTTCCTCTTAAAAATTTTACTTGGTGCCAAGTTAAAAGTATCAATATATTTTCTTCAAGCAATTGTTTTATAAATATAATATTGTTCAATTTGCTTTTTATATACCATTTTCTTTTAGTCTTGCTTAACACAGACCAAATCTCTGTTCCTTTACCTAAATATATACTTTTTGCTACTTTATTGCATTCTAGTTCTATGTCTAATTTTATAGCTTCTTTAACTATATTTGTATTAAAATTATACTTTATTTCTGCCTCATTTAGCCATTGAGCAGACCACTCAATTATACACCTGCTACTTCTGTTATCAACCTGTGTCTGCCTTAGTTTATCCAGGTTATATTCACTACTGATTCTATACTATTTAGTTTTTTAACTAAACTAGAAACTTGTTGTGCCAACTTTGCTTACTATAAGCCTTTAGCTACTACCAAATTTAGGTGCATAATGATGCTATTTGCTATAATACTTGCCAAATCTGCTTTTCACTTGAGTAAATTGAAAAAGAGTCTATGGATTCCACAGGCTTGCTTGCTTATCACTTGGCATTTTAGTTGATATTCTAGTCTTGGTAATAAAACCCTATTGTTTATATATTGCAGGTACTCTAACGATATCTTCTTCTTTCTTAAAATTTTTACTAACTTAGCAACCTCTCTTTTTACTAAACTCATTCCACAATTTCTCTTATTTCTCTCTGAGATCTATACACCTAGGAATCTGGCTGCTTTATCATTTCTTTTTGCTTTTATCTCTACTCCACTTTTGCTAGTAATATTGCAATCTTTGTCTTCTTGGCTTATAATTATAATAAGCTCTGATTTTTTTTTATTTATCTTAATGTTGTTTAGTTTATAGAATTCATTAGCCTTCTTTAAGATTTCTTACAACTCTGCCTTAGACTTTGCAATTCACATTGTATCATTAGTATATACCACAACAGCTTGTTTCTGTTTTATCCAAGTAATCTCTCCTTTTCTTAGATCTGTAGACCGTAGCACTACTACTTCATATCCCCAGTCTTTAATTCTTTGCACCTTGTACAAAAGCAGATTATAAAAAATACACTATATTAGAGAAGACAGCACCTCTCTCTGGTTTATCTCATCTTTTGCCTTAATTACTCTGGTGCTTCCATATGCTATTATTACTTCTAATTCTCTATACTTATACAGGCTAATAATATAACTCTGTATGTTTGTTGGCATTTTAATTCTTTTAAGAGCTAACTTCAGCAATGTCATGTTTACAGAGTCAAATACTTTTTGCATATTCTGTAATAGGATCCACAGCTCTTGTTTTTTTTCTTGTACTTCTTCTGCAATACAGCTCAGGATGTATATAGGGTCTTTTATGCTTTCACCTGTAAGACCCACGTAGTTTGGGCCTTTGAGTATACTGTGCTTCTTAAAAACCTGTCCTAGCCTTTTCATTATCACCCTACTTAAAACTTTCTGAACATTCTCTAATAAAATAATAGAAAATATATTGTTTAATTCATAGTTCTAGTCTTCTCTTTTAGGAATTGAATATAATACTCCAATTTTCTATTTTAGCAGAATATTCCCAGCTTTTATACACTTTGAAAAAAGTCTTGTACAAGCTTCTTTCATTTTTGCACTGATGTTTTTGAGAACTGGGTATGTGATGCCCAATAGGCCTGAAGCAAAATTATTTCGTGTTTTCTGCAGAGCTTTATTCCAATCTTCTGATATTATTTTATTTGACATTTCTTTGTACCATTCCTTATCTATATTCTCTATAGAACTATACTGCTTTGTCCAAAATGTATTTAATAACTCTCTATCTATGTTTTTTTTTCTAAATTGCTTCTTGAAGAAAGATTTCACCTTTTTTATAACTTCTATTTCACTATTAACTAAGGAGATATCATCTTCTGTTTCTTCAAATACCCTATCTAGTTTGATTCTTCAGTATGGTTTTTCAAGTATACTATTTAACATACTTTTTTGATTTGAAGAGATGTTTTCATATTTTTTTTCTATTTTCTTTTTAATATTGTGCTCTTCTTTCGCTATTTTTGTTTTGCTCTATACTCTTTTGCAGTTTTTGCAACTTGCTCTAGTTGTTTGTAGGTGTCATGTAATCATGTGTGACTTCATGTGACTGGGGCTTTCTTCAATTCCATCTCAATCACTATGTTTATATTTTCTAGAGCTTTTATTAACTCATCTGTTATTACTTGCCCAATTTTCTTTTTGGCTTTTCTCAAAGCTTATTAACTTCTTTAGCAATTTTTCTGAGTTTGTGAGAGGTTTCTGGTTTATTTTTGATTTTTTCTTTACTATGGGTTTTGCTTTTGGGAGTGTTTTGTTGGCTTCTTTTCTTATTGCAGTTTTGATAATGTCTCACTCTCTGTCTAGAGCCTTCTGACTTTCTTCTCCTCTTAAGATACTGGCTGATTTTTCTAAACTTTCACTCATTATAATTCTTGGCTTATTATTAAAGTATCTGTTTTTTGCGCAAAGTCTTCTCAATCACCTGGTTTGATTCTTTGGAGGTCTATATATATCTTTTTAGTTTTGGCTTTTTTTCTTTGAGCTTTTTTCTATATACATATATAATCCTCTTATTCTAAACATATGGGGAGGAGTTAATAGAAAAGGAACAAATCATTTTTAGTGAAATTTTTTTAATTTCTAAATTAATTGGTGATCCACCAGTCAACCAGAGAATAATCATAGTAAAATATGACTCAAATTACTATGAAAATTAAGAGTCTTTAAATGTGGTGTGTGCACATTTAAAACTTTTTTTTATACTAAATTAATCACTTTTCTAACTTAAGAAACTTTGTAAAGCTTGTCAAGACGCATCTAATAGTGGTTAAAGTGTCAAAATCGGCTTGGTAAGTGCTGAGATATTTTTAAAAAACATTTCTTTTACTATGTAAACTTCTTTGCAAACAATAGTATTGTTTGCAAAGAAATTTACATAGTAAAAGAACTGTTTTTTAAAGATATCTCAGCATCTACCAAGCTGATTTTGACGCTTTAACTACTATTAGATGCGTCTTGACAAGCTTTACAAAGTCTCTTAAGTTAGAAAAGTGATTAACTTAGTATAAAAAAAAAGTTTTAGATGTGTGCACATCACATTTGGAAACCCTTAATTTTTATAAATAATTTGAGTCACATTTTACTATGATTATTCTCTGGTTGACTGGTAGATCACCAATTAAAATATCTCAACAACTAATTAATCAAATTTGCTAAAAATTTTTTTATTTTAATCTTGAAATTATATAGAATCAAAATAAAAAATTTTTTATTAAATTTAATAAGATAATTGCCAAAATATTTAAGCCTAAAGTCAAAAAAACTTTTACTTAGAAAAAATTTGTCTCTTTTCTATTGACTCACCCCTATATCATAATCATGTGATAATTACTCTCTATTACCAGGTTCACCTCTTATATTTTGCACTTTCTTAAGTCTTTAAACCAATTATTAAAAACCTACATATAATCAATTGTTATGTCTTTTTCTGCACCTTTTCTTGTAGTTATTTTTTCTCCATCTTTTACTTACTTAAAGGCACTTTTGAAGTCTCTATCTATAAGTTTTCAGATAAGAGTTTTTTATTTATAGCCATAGAGCTTCTCTCTACATTGTGATTTATTTTTCCTAACTCTATATTGAAATCTTCCATCACTATACATTTCTTCTTCCTATTTTGTATATTCATCTCACATAAACCCAAAATATCTATTCTTTTCTCTCTTGCAAAATCTACTAAACTATCTATCTTGTATTTGTTTGTTTTAACCCTATTTATATTATAAACTCCTACAGTTACCACTCTACTATTCTCTCTATTATCATCTTTTCCATATTTAGTGGCCTTGCTACTTTTTTCTCTTGTTTCGCCTGTGGCAACTTTTAGAAGCATCTAAGGAATAGGCTCTTTCTCCTAAATCTGTTTTTCATTTCTTGTTGAGCCTTGATCTTTTTTAATTTGTCAGCATGTCTTTAATTTCAATAGGCTTTTTTTCTTAATCTTAACCAATTATCTCTGGTTGCTTACCCTTGGAATTATTATTATTATGTTTAAGCTACTGCTTTGCTAGGTCATCATTCTCCTTATTTTTACGGAAATTGTCTACTTTCTTTTTTCCCAAAGTGTCTAAGGGTTCTTCTGCTCTAATAACCTTTCATGATAGTTTTTCTTCTATATTTGCTGGTTGTTTTTGTATATACTACTATTCTTCTTTTCAACCTCTTTGCTCTTTACCCATTCCAATTTTGTATTGTAGTAATACACCCTTTTACCCAGAGCTGCGCACAAATTCTCCTCTGATTTAAAGAATACTGATACTGTACCTCTTTGATTTTTGTTGCTATTGTGAGATATATTACTGCTTGTGCTTTAACTACTTTCAGCTATTTTAATAGCATTGTTTCTAGTACTATCTTTGAGATATTCTTGACTATTGATAATCCTTTAGTTAACTGAAGCATGATCTTAGTAAAATGTGACTTAGATTACTATATAAATTTACTATAGCACAAATATGGTGTTCGCCCAAGATAAACTTTTTTCATACTAAGTTAATTATCTTTCTTGCTTAAAAGACTTTTGTAAAGCTTGTCAAGACACATCTAATAGTGGTTAGAGCATCAAAATCAGCCTGGTAAGTACTGAAATATCTTTAAAAAACCTCTTTTACTATGTAAATTTTTTTACAAACAATAATATTATTTGGTATTTTTTGCAAAGAAATTTACATAGTAAAAGAGAAGTTTTTTTAAAGATATTTTAGTACTTATCAGGCTGATTTTGATGCTTTAACTACCATTAGATGTGTCTTGACAAGCTTTACAAAAGTTTCTTAAGCAAGAAAGATGATTAACTTAGTATTAAAAAAAGTTTACCTTGGGCGAATGCCACATTCACACTATAGTAAATTTATATAGTAATCTGAGTCATATTTTACTAAAATTACACATCAGTTGACTAGAAAATCATCAATTAAGTAAATTCCAAATCTATCTACAACATATATAAAGATAATTCAGTCAGGGATTTTTCAAAATTCGAAGATTATTTCTAGAATAATCTAAATCATGTGCCGACATGTGATTGGTACTTAGTAATGCTTACTAATCTTTTTTTATAGAGAAATTCAGAAATTCGTAATCTTTCGTCGATCTAGTACCGCAATAATGGTTAAGTCTAACCATCGAATTACATATTTTCCAATACGTATTTTCAGAATCCACGTGAATCCCAAAGCCTTGACAAATTAGTTTTTCTTAAATTAAAGCTTAAATTACACATATTTTATATATTATTCAATAAGTTCAAAAGTAGAAGCCAAAACGCTACCCTGTCTCTTTGCTTCTTTTGCTAAAAAGCACCTGGCAAGTGATTTACTAAAACATATAAATAAGTGTAAACCTGACGAAAAGCAATAGTAGTAAAATGCATCGGCTAATACAGCAACGAAAAAGCTAACAGAATTAGCTAAGTATTTTACTGAATTAACTTCATTTCTTGAATTTTTAGAACATTACTCTTTATGTGAATGGCATTATAATCAGATCGTTGCTAAATCTTCTTTTATTAAACAATTAACAGATGAATCAAATTTAGATAAGAGCAAAAAAAAGAGAGTAAAGCTTTCTAATAAAAAAAGCTTTGCTAATTTTGGTGTTTAAGTTAATCCAACTTCTATAGATTTTGGTGCTCAAATTAATCCAACTCTCGCCAATTTTGGTGCTCAAGTTAATCCAACTTCCATCAATTTTGGAGTTCAAGTATCTCCAGATCCAACATATGAAAGTCTTTTAGGGCAGATTAGTAAGCTTGAAAGTGTTAATAGGCAATTATTAGCCAAAAATAAAGAGTTAAAAAAAAAGCTTTACAAAAGATTTACTAACCAACAAGATCGTATTCAGTC